TACTTCCATGAATGATACTGGTTTTTCATAATTTTTGCGCAGTTTATCTGTGCGTCACGTAAAACCGGGGAGAGCAATGGCTAGGAAGAATATACTTCAAGGTCCCTTTCTAGGGCATCAACATCCCAAATGCACTTATTGATCTCAAGTGAGAGACCCTTCCAGACCGCCTCTATCTCTTGAAACAAATTGCCAGACGTCATGAGCGTCCTCTCGTGGAGCTCAAAGATCATGTAGCGGATTCTAAAGAGCGTATATTGTTGACAAAAGTATTATTTCATGATATGACATCAAGAACTCACTCCCCATGTCCCTCGCGAATTGATCAGTGACACTCGTATCCAATTGACGCATAATTCCACTGTCGACGGCATCCTCCAACTTTTCCTCCAGGGACGAGAGTCGAAGCTTGAGCGTTTTCATGAGGATTCGTGGGCGCATGGCGTGCATGCACGTAAGAAAACCAAGGAAGAGGGCCCCAGCCCGCACTAGGTCTTGCGGGATGAGGGATAGAATGATCATCCATGCTGTTGAGATGATTGCTTGGTGGTACTCTTGTAGGGTTGAAAACATTACCGTGGTGGGGGAGAAAGTTCTGGAGTTGTCGCCTTTTCACCAATTTCTATCCTGTAGAATGCAGGGTCGTTCGCAAATAAATGTTGGCTAAAAGTACCGAGATAGGTAAAAGTACCGAGAGAGGTACTTAGAGGCTGTGCAAGAGGTAAAAGGATGGCTGAAAAAGTACCGACACTTTAGACAAGGCAACACTAAAAGTGCCGAGAAAACACTCAAAGTACCCAGGAAATCTCATCCACAAACTGCGACGTGAACGCTGAACGTGAATACGAACGGGATGAGTTGTCCTCAGCGATTCCGAGAAACACAGCTACCGAGAAACTTAGCGAGATTGGAGAAACACCAACTTACTGATAAACTTAAGTGGGACTCGGAACCAATAGATACTAATTAAAGGTACCGAGCAACACTGTCACCTGTTCACCGATTTTTATTCCCCTCACCCAACACCAGCGTTTTATTGAACTGTGCCAGTGTTCCTCTTCAGGGTGGTACATGTACACAGACAAACACAGAAAGTGCAATCGAAATAGTCGGCCAAATCGGCCAACTTTGAAATCGCTAGTATTATTCTTGTCAAGCTTGTATTGATCATAATATCTAATCTCGAGAGATCAGTTGCAGACGTCAGATTCTGGTGTCTCAAGGAATACGGTTACCGAAACACAATCCCGTGCTCATCCACCGCCTTGACCTACTCCCCATAACACTCCCACTCGGCGCCGCAAGGCATCTAATCCCGCTCTTCCGTGCACGATGCATATTATCTGGCAACGGGAAGAATGCATCGCTAGAACGCGCAACACCATCCAACTCAACTCCCTCTTTTCCTCGCCCTTCAAAGCTGCAACGCTGGCATCTCAGGATCTCAGCCTCGAATAAGGGCTCCCACCGTTCCTTCTCCCCACCCTCCAGCACTTTCCCGTTGCCAAACAGGTCAATGGGGTTAACTTTCTCTGTGCGTTCGTGGGCCACCGGATGCGCGGTTGTTGGCCTGCATCCGAATTATGCACATAACCATCACCTCCTCCGAAATCACATTCTGAATCAAAATACGCTCTCACTCAATCCCACTGTAACGCCCCGCATCACTCCGCACCCTCCCATCTTTCACCCATCTCGCATCACCCATCCAACGCATGGCCTAAGCTTCTTGTGTCTACCACCTTCTTCAGCGCCATTTTGTTGGAGGAGACTGTGGTACCCACCCAGGACACCTGTTTGCAATTCTGACTAGAGAATCAGTACAGACTGTCCAGAGGACCTTCGGATAGGCCCATACCCCTTTTCACGGACTCTATACATCGAAAGAATGGATGAAGGGTCGATCTCGGGTACGAGGATACAATCCACCGGCGTGCATGTCTCGTAAGTATCCGTTGGGAACTATTTAGGGCCAGAGGTGGCTGTTATTGGGTCCAAGGTGTCGGAGACGAAGTACCACGTCAAGGTGGGCGCCTTTGCGAGGAGGTGCTGGACGGCGGGGATTTTTGCGAGATAAGCTTGGCTGTGATTGGTGAGGTAGTCCATGGTACCTACGACATTGAGGTTCTGATAGTCAAGGAGAGGAGGACTGCGATGCGCAGGTTGGGTGGGGTGGTCATGGTGTGCTAGAGTCAGGTCCGTTGAGTTTGTCTTGCAACTGATCCACCTATTTTATACATGCACAGGTGTCTCCGCAACCCCGTGCATACTTTTAAGCGGCCGACGTTCTGGTCAGAAGCGTCTCCCGATATTGTCGATATTAATCATGCGCACATTGGTCTTTTGATACGCGATTGCGTCGACTTAACCTGGATCGAACGTTCAAGTGCGGCAGATGAATATCATAAAGGTCAATACAAGTGTTTTACCCTTCTTCCAGGAAGAGCGGCTGATTTTGTTTCCAAGGCATGCTTGTGCAACTGCCTATTTTGGGCCAATCTTCCGCCTTAGGGTCACATTGAGGTTATGGACATTCAGAGGCCATGTTTCTCGCAGCCGCCCCTGGTCGCTGCTCCCCGTCTTCTCTGAATGGACCTGAAGAGATGGAGGACGAAAGCCGGAAATCAAACGTAATCAAGAGGGTAGAAGATGAACGGACCAGTCTGCGCATCTTGCTGCTCATGACCGATTTGTATGCTCCACTTCATAGCGATCTTTTCGTGCTCGACTCATTGGTTTTATAGGTCTTAAGTTGAGGAAGATGATCGTCTTGAGCTTCAGCGTACGTTTGGCGAGGTCGTCTCCCCGAGAGAGACGCTGACACGTTGCACAGCTGTGGCGCTGCCTTGCTTGAGGAAGCACTTTCTGCATGCTACAGTCCGTCCCCTTCAACATGCCTCTGAACGACTACATCAAGAGATTTGGAATCGGTTTGAAATCGGTTTGAAA